GCGGGTCCGGGCTGGGGATTCGAACCCGCCACCTTAGGTGTATGTGGCTGGCGCCTTAGCCGGTTGAGCTATAGGCGCCGAGCCTTCATTTAAATTTAAAGGAAGAAAGGCTAAGAAGAAGCCAATTGGGAATTGAATTTAAGATTAATGGAAAGGCCATTTCTCAAGATTTCTGAAAATGAGTTATTGAAGTGAGACTTCATTATATTTATTGTTCTTCCTAATTTTGTATATGTTTGAGATTTTTTCATAATAAAAGATATTTTAAAAATAAGCCACACTGACATTAAAATATTATTGCTATCTTAAACATCAGTGTCATGGATTCAAACTTTGAAAAGCTTCAAAGGTAGGGATAGAATTGCTTGGGTATCTCAACTTACGAAATCAGAGGTTGATGAAGGGTGGATACCTGCTACCAAATGTCTTAGGTGTTTCTTAAATTTTTTTTCGTAAGATAATTGGTGCACTGGAAGGACATACAGCAGTGCACCGTGAATTCACTCATTTCCTGTACAGGTCTAGCAGCTACTGTCGGGCAGCGCCTTCAGCACCCGCCATCAGACAGGCATGCCGCTGGCTGCCAGCGTCCAGGCCCATGACACTTCCTCTGGTCTTTGGAGCCAGTTCTTCCCGTGACTAAGTACGTGCAGGTCTCAAGTGCTTTCTTAGCTTCCTTCTTTTCCCTGTCTGGGTTTCCCACTTTCCAACCAGAATTCCCTGGGACCACCCCTCAAATAAACTTCTTCTGAATGCATCCTTGTCTGGGATCTGCTTCTGCAAGAATTCAAACTAAGACAGTTCATTGGCAGTGGCTCGTGACTGTAGTCTCAGCTACTGAAGAAGCTAAGGCAGAGGATTATGTGAGCCTAGGAGTTCAAGACCAGCCTGGGCAACATAGCAAAACCCCATCTCTAGTTTAGAAAAGAAACAAAATTTGGAAATACAGATGGTTGCCCCGTTGAAAGAATCAAAGCAACAGGCTAGGTTCTGTGTCATGAGATTCCGTACAGAAATACAAAATACATTGCTTTAGTCTATATTTTCAGTTGAGTGGAGTATTTTTAGCATCATTTATACATTTGCAGAAATGCCAAACTTGGTGTTTAAGCCTTTTTATCTTTGACTGCCATCTAATTCTATTAACATGAGTCAAAAGCTTATATTCACACTTAGCCCAGTTTCATTCCCGTGAGCTGAGCTTGGACATTTAGGGTGACATGAAGGGAGGAGTCTGGATTGACTCCCAGGTTTCTCTTTTACCTGCCTGGGTAATGGAGGTTGGAAGAGATGAGGAATTCATAGGCATCTGGGACTATGGAGAGGGTGGTGTCTGTAGGTGTCATATACAAGGCCCTGTACATGGCTGACAAGACCTGACCTGTCCACCCCCTGCTCCGTTCTCCGCCATCTTCCCGCTGCAGCCTGCTTCATGTCTCGCTGCTCTCTCCACTCTGAGTATGCACTGGCCGTTCCCTCTGGCTGGAACACCCCTGCGTAGCCCACTCCCTCCATCCCCCAGGGGACTCCTGTTTGAACAGCTTGGGCAGCAGCACTCACTGTCATCACATGGCACAGCGTTAGGAACTCAGTAACTGAGCTACAGAGCTGGCTTGTCTGGATGTTAACTCCATCTCTGTCTGTACCTGCTGCGGCCTTAGCACTGACTCCCAGTTCCGTAACATAATGGGGATAAGCTTAGAACATTTCGTAGGGCTATTAAGAAGATTAAATATGTTATATTTTTAAAACACTTAAAATGGAGTATGGCACATACGGTGTTCCATTAATCCTTACTGCTATTATTAGTTGCTATCTTCTGAGATAGTTCATATATCTAATTTTTAAAAAAATTTTTTTAGGATTTATTATAGTAGCAGTCTTGACAAGTAGTGCCAATTTAAAGCAATGATTATTCTGGTCTTTTCTCTAAATCACAAACAACTGTTTTAAAATGTTTTTCTGAGCCTCTTTCTCCTACTTTTTAACCTTTAAATTGCTTTCTTTGTGCCATGCCATAATCTGTATACTGTTCATCTTTTATATGTTATATTTCATTGTTTTCTTAGGCTTTCCCTAGTACTTAAACATGCAGATTATTTCTAGTTTTTTATTATTCTGATTGGATGTATTTGACAAGTTTCTTCCTATAAGTTAATTGCTTGGGATTTTTTCTGAAAAGTGAAATTTTTGAGTAAGATTTTATTTTTATACCTTGTATTAACTTCTCCAAATGTTTTCTAAGATATTTCTATAATCTATTGTAAATATATATATATGCACACCATTATAAGTGCTAACATAAGAAATGTAAGAGTGTAGGCATGATGATTTAAATGTCATTTTTAAACTTTTGAATATAAATTATAATATACCAATAAATTTAATGAACCAAAACCAATATTGTAAGGGAGCATGAAATTTAACTGTTTCTAACAGATATAAATTACTGGAATTTTAAAAACCGATTTGGAAGTATGTTAAGCTATGGACCTAGTTAATCCCAATTTAAAGCAGTGTGTTAACCTTTTGATGTAGAACCTATAAAATTTTTTTTTTCAAGACAGAGTCTTACTTTGTCACCTTTGGTACAGTGTTATGCCATCATAGCTCACAGCAACCTTGAACTCCTGGGCTTAAGCAATTCTCTTGCTTCAGCCTCCCCAGTAGCTGGGACCACAGGTGCCCACCACAAACACCTGCCTATTTTTAGAGATGAGGTCTCACTCAGGCTCAGGTTGGTCTCAAACCTATGAGCTCAGGCAGTCCACCCTCCTGAGCCTCCCAAGTGCTGGGATTACAAGTGTGACCCAAGCTGTCCCCCTGGGTAGAGTGTCGTGGCATTACAGCTCACAGCAACCTCCAACTCCTGGGCTCAAGTGAGTCTCCTGCCTCCGCCTCCCAAGTAGCTGGGACCACAGGCGCCCGCCACAACGCCTGGCTATTTTTTGGTTGCAGCCGTCGTTGTTTGGCAGGTCCGGGCTGGATTCGAACCCGCCACCTTAGATGTACGTGGCTGGCGCCTTAGCTGGTTGAGCTACAGGTGCTGAGCCAGCATAGAACATTTTATAGCATGATTATGACTATTCTAAATGTCACTGTAAGAAATTTAAGAATTTATTCATAATGATCCAAATGCCCTTTTTTTGCATTTTTGAATTAGAGCTTAGAAAATTTTATACCATCCACTGCACTGGTTACCTGAGAAGCTGGCCTCCAAGTATCGTTGGAATGGAAGAAGAGAGGGACATTAAGAAAGACAACAGTAATTTTAACTGCCTTGTTGCCATTGGAAGATTACACCCATATATAGTTCCACAGAACAGTGGAGAGATTAAAGTGAAACCAACTGAATTTATAACCCGATTTGCAATGAATGGAAAATTTGTCTACGTAGATCAAAGGTAAACATTGATGTGTCATAATGATTAGAGTTCAGAGGGATATTTGAGGCTCTTAGAGACATGGTTTAGTAGCATTGCTAGATTTTTTTTAATAAGTCTTCAGAACCAGAAGTATAGTTTAAATGAAATACGGATGTCTTACAGATTGGTTCAAGTTGAAATGTAAACATAGAATATTCTTAGCCAGTGGTACAGATGGAACTGGGCAGGATCTGTGACCACAGTTTTACTGAAGGCTAATAAAAACACTGCTGGGTTGGGCGGGTGGCTTTGTGGCTGGGTATCCTTTTGCAGGTCTAGTGTGGGTCTAGGGTAGCCAGAGGGAGCCCAGCCATGCATACAGGTTACTCATCCCCAGTCTACTTCCCGACTGTCCTGACCGTACACTGACCTGCAGCAATATTCTGGGAGGGAGGACACGTACCAATTCTGAAGTTCATTTTCAATTTTAAAACTAGGGCAACAGCAATTCTAGGATATTTGCCTCAGGAACTTCTGGGAACTTCATGTTATGAGTATTTTCATCAAGATGACCATAGTAATTTGACTGACAAGCACAAAGCAGGTAGGTATGCACTGAGCAGTATACTTTTTGGTAATTTTTTTTTTTAGCAACAGAGTCTCACTTTATTGCCCTTGGTACAGTGCCATGGCATCACAGCTCACAGCAACCTCCAACTCCTGGGCTTAGACAATTCTCTTGCCTCAGCCTCCCGAGTAGCTGGGACTACAGGCGCCCACCACAATGCCTGGCTATTTTTTTGTTGCAGTTTGGCCGGGGCTGGGTTTGAACCCACTGCCCTCAGTATATGGGGCCAGCGTCTTACTCACTGAGCCACAGGCGTCACTCACTTTTTGGTAATTTTTAATTGCAGTTTCAACTCTATTTAATTTCTCATTCTTGTGAAATCTGAAACTTGAATTCATCCTCACAGCAATGATTTTTGTAGCAGTAGACTGTTACAATGAATAATTATTTTTTTCTTTTTAAGTCCTACAGAGTAAGGAGAAAATATTTACAGATTCATACAAATTCAGAGCCAAAGATGGTTCTTTTGTAACTTTAAAAAGCCAGTGGTTTAGTTTCACAAATCCTTGGACCAAAGAACTGGAATATATTGTATCCGTCAACACTTTAGTTTTGTAAGTATTTTTTCTTTTTTTAACGTTAAGACCTTTATATCGATTTCAAATGAGTACCTTGCTTTTCTCATCTGGTTAAACCATTAAAACTTCAGGATCCTCTGACCTTCTATTATATCTCAAGATAATATCTTTTGAGTGACTCATTTGCTATTCATTGGCATTAGTTCTCAGAATTTAGCTAAAAGTTTGCCCTTTTATAATATATTCCTTCTTACTAGGGATAATATGTGATAGTAAAGCATTTCCTTCCTACCCTCCATGGCTATTAAATAAATCAGTTGCATGGGGCTTTCAACTGTCAATCATTGTAAGAACATTGTGTTGTCCCTCCCATCACTTTTCCCCCCCTAGAGATAGAGTCCTGCTGTGTCACCAGCTGGAGAGCAGCCATGTCATCGTAACTTGCTATAACCTTGCACTGAAGCGATTCTCCTGCCCCAGCCTTCTGAGTAGCTGGGACTGCAGGCACATGCCACCACACCAGACTAATTTTTTTTTTAATTTTTGTAGAGACAAAATCTCACTCTTGCCCAGGCTGGTCTCAAACTCTTGGCCTCAAGCAATCCTCTCATTCAGCCTCCCAAAGTGCTAGGATTATAGGTGCGAGTGGCACGCGGCAACCCACCCTCATTTTTATGTGTACTTCTAAGCTTGGGGTGCCACATGTGACTGTCAAAGGCATTCCCAGCACAGGGGTGCTTGGCTAAAGAATGGTGAGCAGGAATCCAGCTCAGTGTTACCTGGCGAGCCCTGTCTGTATCAGCTTC